TGACCCTCCCTCAGAGAAGCATATCCAAATGCGAGTGGGGGGAGAGGTCTTTTTCTAGGGATAACCTTGACTGAGCTAATTTGTAAAAAACGTGGTTATTCTGTGACTTGGGAACTTTATCTCTTATCAGTAACAGGTTATGAGTTACCCCTGGCAGCTGACTGTGAGGCACCAAAGACCAACAGGGCACAGAGGCTTCCTTTTTCTGGGTGAGATGACCTTGGGGCTTGTGGCTGAGGGTGAGGGGAGTCCAGCCGGGTGTGCTTGGGGCCTGGGCAGTCGTTCAGTGAAAAGGAGGGAGAGTATCATCCCTTAAACCCCCTATCCTGCAGAGCCTCAATATCGAGATGTCGTGAGCCCAGAAGCCACAAGACTCACTGCCTGCAAGGACGAGGGTCTTTGAGGGCCACAGGGTAGGAGGGAGCCTCAGAACAGAGTCGAAGTTGGAAAACGAAGAGGACAGGAGTGTGGCCCCACTCTCCCAGTTTACAGAGGAGGGAACTGAGGCTCAGAGAGGGCGAGTCTACTGTGCAGGGCACTGGGAGAGTGGGGGTGGGGATGGAGCCTGAACCCAGGGCTTCCTGGCTCGCCTCCAACTGCTCTGTACCTCTCTGCCTCTTTTTCTAAGCTCCTGGAGGGACAAGTCCTCATCACACTCACTTCTATCCATGGAGTCCAGCAAATAGCATGTCCCCAGCAAATGTTTATTGAAAAATGGACCGTATGGGTTCAAGTCCCAGTTGCTAGCTATGGGGGTTTGGGCAAGTTATTTAACCACTCTGTGCCTCACTTTCTTCATCTGTAAAATGATAAGACAATAGTCCTAAACCCATAGGATTGCAGTTAGAACTAGATGACCTGGTATATGAAAGAGCTTAGAACAGTGCCTGGCCCAGGATAAATTCTGTGAAATGGTAAATGTTATTATTATTATGGCCCCTCCTTTGAGAGTGCCCTGGTGCAGGGAGGGGTAGGACAGACTTACCTGTTGTCCTGGATGGGCTTGTTGTTAACTGTTTGCCACTCGGACGATCCCACCTCCCGGGAGTAGATGTAATAACCCAGGAGCTCTGGGCCGCCTTCCACAGGGTCCCAGGTCAGGCAGACAGAGGTCTGCGTGTCTCGGAAAGCTTGAACTTGCGTTGGAGGAGGGAGAGTAGCTAAGAAATAGAAACGTGGTTGAGTGAGGATGCTGGGTTAGACAGCTCTGATAGACTGGGGAGGGGGAGGAGAGGGGAGAGGCAGGGAGGAGCCCCCAGAGTAATCAAGGGCATGCATGAATTCCAGACATACCTGGGGGCTTGGGGCAACTCCGTCCCAGGCTCAGAAGTGTGCCCCAGACTACTGTATACTAAAAGTCATCTCTCCTCTTAGCTACAAGTATCTTTGCTTCTTCACTAAAGCACTAAAGCCCTCACTCATTTACCCTTTCAATCTCTCTCTCACTCAGAAGTCACTAAATCTGACAACTTTCCTCAGTCCTTATCTTTGATTTCAAGAAAACTTGATTTCTTTCCTTGAAACCTTTCTACTGACTTTTATGGCTCCCTGAGACTAAGCTCCTTGAGTTAGGGGCTTTTGTAATTTGTTAAATGGATAGATGAATGAGATGGATGGAGGAATGGAGGGATGGATGAATGGTTGAGTGGATGGGTGGATGGATAAATGGTTGGATGGATGGATGGTTGGATGAACTGTTGGATGTATGGATGTATGTATGAATGGATGGATGGATAGATGGTTGGATGGATGGATAATTGGATGGATGAACGATTGGATGGTTGGGTGGATAAATGATTGGATGAATGAATGGGTGATTGGATGGATGGATGCATGGTTGGATGGATGGATGGATGGATGGATGGATGGATGGATGGATGGATGGATGGATAGTTGGATGGATGCATGGTTGGATGGATGGATGGATAGTTGGATGGATGAATGGTTGGATGGATGGATGGCAGGGACATGATATTCCTAATTCTCTCTTCTCAAACTGTTTGCTAAATCCTTTAGTGGCTCCCCTTCTTCCTTTTGTCCCCAAATATGAGACTTCTCCACCCTTTTGTTCACTGGCCTGCACC